TCGGGCCTCCAATCCGGATCCCCTCATTGTCTCTTAGATCCGTTCCTTCTCTTTCTGGTTGACCGATTTCGCTCAGTTCCAGTCCCAGTGTGCATTTCACTCCAGACGCTATTTCACGAGGACCTAGAAGCAGGTACATTGCTGCATCACCGGACAGAGCGCCTAGATTGTGATTCCCATGCTTGCAGATCTTAGGCCTTACCTTCACGGGTCCTCTCCTTGATTAAACCCATGTTGTCAGAGCAAACTATGGACGCCTATCTCTGGTCGCATGCGGCTTCTCAAGTGGATTTCTAGTACATTTTGGCCATAACACCGAATTTCTGTGACGGTTGTGCTCCCTGACTGCCAGGCCCCCAAAGTTGTTCTGGTTTATTCGAAACGGACATCACTCACTGACAACATCTTCGCTTCATTGCCGAAAACCCTTGCCGCCATTTTCCTCATCTTGATCCATTTTCCTCCTGTTGTGACAGCTCCCTGAAACAGGCTTCTCCTTTTTGCTGGTCTCACTGTATTTTTGTTTTTCCCAAGCATGACCGACAGGAAATCACGGAGGGTCCTATACCAAAACGGCACGACGATAAATTGCGTAAGGTTGGGATTATAAGAGCCTAAATTTAATATTGTGGCATGACTTTCCATTTCGAAGGGAAAGTTGGCTGGAAGGAATTCGTCATGTCGTCTCACCGGAAACCGAAGGAGAATTGTCGCGAAGGGAAGGCTGTTGAATTGTGCCAATAAGGCTTCGACTCACCGTCCTGCCACCCCGAATAACCTGCACAGAGCTTTCGTCTGTACCCTCGTGGCAGACGCCATAAGAGCAAGATTTCATACTTGACGAAATAGAGCAAAAGTGTACTAGGCCAAAAGAAGAAGGTGGCCGGATGCAAGCCAACGTCGCGATCCCAATGAGGCCTGCCCTGATTCGGTTGGCCACTTCAACCTCACTCGACATGTTTCATCACACACAAACTGGCATGTGCTATTGTGTCTGTTGTGTGTATGCAATGCTCATGTCATGCGAAGTGTGATAGTCAAAGCTAGACACGAGGCTGGCTAGCTCTTCCTGCACCCACTCTCGCTCCATTTCCGTAAGTCTATCCAACAGCTACGAATAGTTCATACTCCCTTTTCGACACTCATTCCTTCCATTCACGACGTGGCTGTTTTGTCCATTTCTATGGCCTCCCAAATCACACGCTTTCACGTCCAGTCCCCATAACCCGCAAAATGTCGTCTTTTCGACCCGTCTTCTGAGTGTCCTGTATTCGCAAAATGTCTTCAGCGAGCTCAGATTTGTCGACCCACAGACTTTTACAAGCGGTTTTCTGTTCGCATAGTCTCCCCCACATAGACCTCACCACATGAGCACACAACCTCGTAGCAGCCTGATCTAGAAAGAGGCTGCGAATATTATCTCAACGAAGGAGCAACTGAAGAAAGTGATAATTTCTCTTTAGACATTGTTTTTATGTTCAATTTCCTCAGCAGTTCAGCCAACCTTTTCGCAAGTTGACAGGAAGGCAAGATCAGGAACCGAATAGAATTGTCCAGTTTTCTATCTGCCGCCTGATGGCAAACTTCCTTGCTCTTGTTAGCTATAATTAATATACAATTGTCTACTAATCCTAATCCTAATTGGTAATTGTTTTGAAACAGTTTATCCCTCAATTTAGCAATCTCCTTATTATCATGGACTTCGTAACTCCTATTTCAACTTTCTTTGTATGGTTCGAGAAGAAATTAATAAGGAAACCCGCGTGAGTGGATTTCCTATATATGTCTAAACTTGACTTATAACCTTCTGTGCTCACTAATACATCCCAAAACGGCAATTTATTTTCATTTTCTAACTCAATGGTCAGCTTACTGTCTGCATCTATCCTATTTATTAGCTCAGGGAATTGCCCCAAACTATATTTGCCGTATATGCGAAGAAAAGTACGTATGGTATGAATTCTTATCAACTTTATTCTGGCTATACGAAAATCAAGAAATCTATATCCCGGCAAGTATACTATAAGATTTTTAAAAATTTGTATTTTACATAATGCAAATCCTAGATGTTGTATTCGTGGTAGACGTCCAGATTTAACTATTTCCACTAATAGGAAACTGGAGCATGTATCAGGTGGTTTGGTTAAGACTAGACTGAAAGAAAGTAGGGACAAATTATATGACCTGATTAGAACCGAAACAAGGACTAGACTATCCCTTTTTCAACCATTTTCTCAAGAAGACTTTATCAAATTGCAGAAAATGGCGGACGGTTTAGCGGATAGGATGGATAAGATCCATAGATACCGACATAATAAGAAATTGAGGAATTTAGGCATCAACATCAGCCAAAAGAATCGTCGAAAAAATAAGGAAATAAGTTAAACTTAGTACTTTTTTTTCTAGAAAAAATAAAGTCATTAATTTATCCAGTATATCTATAGATGCTAATGTTACGCTCGTCTTGAAAAGGGGTTTAAACTTTGAATTTCCAAATGAGCAAAATCATTCTATGGAGATACTGGTTGGGTTAATTAACTTAACGGACAAGTTGCCAGAAGAGGCTAAGAATAGTAAAGAAAAAGAAGTGATTCCTCATTTTGATGAAGTAATTATTCCAAAGAAATCGTGTGACTTGAATAAAGTTTCTAGATATTTGCACCAAAATGATCTGTTTGTTTTAAAGGCAGATAAAGGTGATGCAGTCATAAATGACTCATAAACTTACAGACTTCTACTAGAGGATCCCACAGAAAGTCTTAAGACCATACTTAGGGAATTGCTTACCATGTGTGTAAGCAGAGGAGAAATCGAGAAGTGGAAAATTAATTCACTGCTATGGCACCTTTGGCTTACGGCCTTCCAAAAGTGCACAAGGAAGGAGTTCCTTTAAGATTGATTGTTAATAACAAGGCTACTGTGATGCATAGGATCTCACGTTTCTTATGTAGACAACTAAGCAAATTGGTTGAGTATTGGAAATATTCAGTGAAGAATTCATATT